TGATGCGCTTACCACGCCGACGGAGAAGTAGTTGTTGATGATGTTGTAGGGTACGGGGTCGCCCTCCCCTTCGATGTCCGAGAACGAGATCTGCCACCGGTCGAGGCTCACCGGCACGGCGTTGGCGATTTTCTGTGAACAGTTCCAGTTCGTTGTCGTACAGAAAATAATTGATGCTCGAACTGCACTCACTGCACTGGGGAACAACGAGTAGAGAAGCTTGCCTTGAGCAGCTTGGGGATGGACTCGCCCTCGTAGCCGCCGCCCCAGCGCAGGCAGCGCGCCAGGTCGTTGCCCGTGCCCAGCGGGATGACGCCCACCGCGGGCTGCTCCTCGAACTGGATGCGGTCTGAAACACACGGCACGGCAGGTCAGAGGTCATCCAGAGCAGCCAGGTTGGTTGGTACCTGCATACCAGGAGGCTGATTCACTCAGCGCACTTTGTATCGAGTTATGCTGCACCGCATTCCCCACGCGCGGTGAGTTGTCTTCTCACTCGGCCTGTGAAGCGACATGGTCAGAGGGGGTAGGCAAGCCCGCCTGCACGTTGCACGTCTGCGTGCGGTACGGTAGAACCCCAGCAGTAGTGCGCGGGGCGAATCAGCCACCTGGTGCACAGTTCGCTCTCCGCAAAAACGACTTCATTCACCGAGACTCACCCATGGTCTCGAGCACCCAGCCGACGGTGCCATCGCCGCCGCAGCAGATGACGTTGAAGTTGGGCACGTCCTTGAACATGGTGAGGCCCTGCATGGGGCCGCCCGTCGCCAGGTTGTAGACCTGTGAACAAATCGAGTCAGGTCGGGCCGGGGGGCCGCCTCGCCTGGGCGGGGCCGGGGGCCGCAGGGCGGTGGCCGGGCAGCCCCCCCATCGGACCGTGGCGCGAATTGCTCACCTGCCGGGGGTTGAGCAGGTACTGGAACTTGCGCAGCAGGCGCGCGCCCTGCCGCCCGCCGCTCTTGGGGTTGATGAAGACGAGCAGCGGCCGCGTGTTGGGCGGCGGCGAGATCTGGAAGGACATGGCGGGCTGCTGCTCGCGCGCGCCGCCGCCGCTCGCGCCCGGGTTGAACTGGAACGTCTGAGAGACACGCGTGTGTGTCAGCCAGGGCGTCGTAACGTAGAGTAACGCGTAACGGAAACGTAGAAAGCGGAAATTAAAATTGCAATTTGAAAAGCGTCCTTGAAGCATTTTCAGCTGTGACAGCGTTTTGCAGAAAAACCAAACTTGAAACTTTTCAAAAACGCTTCAGAAACGCATGAAAATTGCAATTTTAATTTTCGGTTTTACGCGTTTGCTTACAAGTTACTTTGCGACTCATTGCAGTCAGGTGGGTCCTCTCCTGTCGGAGTCTCTAAAGCAGCAACACAAACACACTGTGGCAAAAAGCGTCCCACCGTCACGCTTTCCACACGGGGCCAAACACGGTCACATCGGCAGTCCGCCACGCGCATGGGGTTACACCGATGAACCGTGAAGCTGCAAAATCACCAAACTGCCAAACCGTCACACTACCACAAACCGTCACACTGTTACATTGCCAAGACATCACACTCAGAAAAACTCCCTTACGAGTTCGGCCACGTCCAACAAGCAGACCCTCACGATGTAGCACAGTTGTTGCTGCCGGCGCCGCTGCAAACAGACCTTCGTCACTAATGACCTAATAACCCATACGACCAGACCGTGTAATCTTGTGATGTAGGTGTTATGTAGGCCACCCCCTTCCTCCCTCGAGCTCCGCCCAGCCCCCCGCGTGCGTGACCCCCACGTGTCCCCCATGATCGTCAGATGATCCCACCCGCGGGGAGGAGTGCGATGTTAAACGGCCGAGGCGGAAGCAGTGGCTGAACGGTTTTATTATCACTTCCCGGCCAGCAGCTATAAACTGCAATCTTCCCCGTGCAAAGCCCTCTCCGCTCGCGCACCGCTTCGCGCCGCTCGCGAGCCCGAGGAGTGCAGTAACCCGCGGAGCAGATCCGCGCTCGCGGTGAGCAGCGCGAGGACGGCGCAGCAGACGGGACTCGCGGGAAGTAAAAATGTCCGGCGAGAATGGTTTATGAATGTTCGCGCGCCTCACCGAGCAGTTGGAGTCCGGCGTCTGCGTCTCGGACCTCGGTCTGCTCTGGCTCTGGGAGAAGGACCGCTGGCGGTCCAGGACCACCGGGCAGATGGCCGTCGGGGGCAGGATGTGCACCTGGTGCTCGCCCAGCGTGCACTCGGGCTTCACGTGCGAGGCGCACTTGTTGTGAAGCTGAAACACAGAATAACGCCACCGGAGGGTATGTTGAAGAAAGGGGGAAAAGAGTTTGTCCCCTTTTCAAGATGATCAGAAAGTCGCAGTGTGGTTTCACTTCGATGTCCATATAACACAAACATGGATTTGTGTCGAATAAGGCATTCCGGTAAATCCAAAATGCAGAAGAAGAATGCGAGGAAGAAGAAAACGGAAATCGCTATACTTTTACATGGTGACTGCCGTTTTCTTGTCCCCTGCATTATTCTGCATTTCAGATTCACCGGAATGCTTTATTGACACAACAATGACATCACTACGCACACGTCTTTCTGTTCTCTTGGTCTCCTTACCGTGGTCTGACACCAGCGACAGCGCAGGCCGCTGATGCCGTTGTAGGACTTGACGGGCTTGCGGCACTTGGCGCACTTGCCCCTGCAGTTGCCCTCTACCCAGTGGTGCTGCGGCGCGCCCGCCGTCCGCTTGCTCTTCACGTAGGTCGCGATGCACGACGCCGGCGCTCGCTGCACGCACCGCTCGTGGGCCGTGTACTTGCAAACTGCAAAGAGTCAAGGTCCCAAACTTTTACCTCCGCATGTTTCTATGAGAGTTTTAGCAGTTGAGGTTTTTCACCTAATAGAGATTTGCATCTTTCACTTTCTGACAACAAAGTGCAAGCAGAATTGGCTGTTTCTGAATTCCTCCCATAATGGTTTTTATGTAAATTTAAGTTTCTTTCCTAACGATTTGCATCCTTAAGGGACCCGGGAGTCGCGGCTGGTACTCACAAATGCAGCACAGGCCCTTTTTGCCCAGGCCGACCAGCATGTTGAGGCACAGGTTGCAGTAGGCGGGCTTGCTGAAGTGCTTCAGTCTGAAGACGTGGTTGCCGTCCTCCTTCACGTTCTGGTTGGCGGAGACAGACGGTAGGCATAATGCGACGGCAAGGAATAATTACCATACATTTCAGGGGATGAAATACGAGAGAAGAAACTCGTCTCTCACCGCGTCCAAGCCGAGGAGGACCAGGAGCGGGATGGTGGTCATGCCGCCCCTCTTCCACTCCGACAAGGAGACGGTGCCGTCCGCGTCGTAGTCTATCTCCACCATCATGTCCTGGAGGATCTGCAAAGACAAAGAAATATATAAATTAACAAAGCACGTCAAAAAATCCAAAGCGGGAAAGAATCGCATTATTCTAATTTCGGTTCGCATTTTCTCACCGGTTTCAGCTCAGAGACGTCCCACCCCAAGTACTCGGCCACGTTCATCATCTGGTTCACGATGCAGTCCATTTCCTAAACGTAAAGACACACTTTAGGTAACGACTTCCACTTTGCAGGTAACGGCAGGTCGTCGAGGAAAGGGGGAACGAACGGTGCTCACATTTGTATCCAAGACGCCGTTGCCGTCCGTGTCGTATAGCCGGAACATAACTGCGGAAAATAGACAGGAGGCTCGGGTTACGGCGGGAAACAACGCGAAGCACTACTTTGGGCAACGTAAGAGAGAGAGACTTACATTCCAGCTTGTCCTCCGGCCGACCGCCCTCCAGGAGGCTGAGGTAGCAGACGATGTCCTTGAGCGGGACGCGCAGCGCGTGGATGTCCAGGCTGGAAGACTTCCTAACGAGGTTCCTAATGTCGGCTGAAAAAGCAAACGGCTACATCAGATACTAAAAGAACAACAAATGCCACCCATCTGGCAAATGGAAAGGGCGTGTAAGCTAGACTGCGTGCCCGGAGTGTTGCGTGGCCTCACCGTCCAGCTTGCCGTTGGTCACGTGCAGCAGCGAGTTGTTGGACTTGCGGCTGGAGTTG